TCGATCATCATCTCCCTGCTTCTCAGCTTCTCTCTCTCGTGTGAACTCTAACAGGTTATGAGCCCTGCTTAGCTCTAACTGAGAATTACTACGCTTACCGCTGCTATATCTTATCTTATCGGTCACAACACATGGCGACGTCAACCGCTGACGCCATCGGCAGGATCCGGATCGATCCTCTCACCGGGGTAGAGGATTGGCCCTCTTGGAGAGTCCAGATGGAGGATCTGCTGTACGGGTTAGGGTTATGGGACTACGTCATCGAAGAAGGCAAGCCGACGGCAAAGGACACCAAGGCACCGACCACAGAAGAAAAGAAGGCTCTAGAAGACTGGATGAAGAAGGACAGGACCGCGTTGATCGCGATTCGGATGCGAGTAAGCAAATCTCTTGTTCACACGCTGACAAGATGTGTTTCTAGCGCGGACGCGTGGAACCGCCTCGTCAAGAACTACGAGCCCAAGGGAATCTTGCACGTCGTGCAGATTCACCGTAAGCTTTTGCAAGCTCGCTATTCGGACTCGGAAAACGTCGAAGAATTTCTACAAGAAATGGTGCGCCTGCGCGAGACGCTGGCGACCATGGGACACGCCCTGATGGAAGAAGAGTTCGCGATCACACTTCTCACGGCGCTACCGGACAGCTGGGACCCAATGGTCAGCTCGATCAATCACGCAACGGATCTCAAGGATGCCGATGAGATCATTGCGCGGATCAGGCAACATGCAAGCCGCATCAACGACTCGGAGGTCGCGATGGCGGCGCGCGCAAAGAAGGGCAGAGGACCCCCTTTGTGCTATATGTGCGGTAAGCCTGGTCTGGCGCGCGACTGCCCTGACCATGACGCGAAGGACGCGAAGGGGAAGAAGAAGGGCAAGGGCGACAAGGACGACGGGAAGAGCGACAAGCGCAAGCCCAAGAAGGACGGGCCGAAGGCGCTGGCTGCCGAAGAAGATGGCAGCGACAGCGACTCCGATGAGTACGCGTACGCGCTGATTGAACAGGTCGACAGCGATTTGGACGAGGACTCCGAAGAGCTTGCACTGGCGGCGCGGGTAGCTCGGGATGCTTGGGTAAGCGATTCCGCTACTACGGTGCACGTAGCACGCGCGCGCGCCGATTTCTTCAGGTACACGCCGACGCCCGGCGACAGTTTGAAAGGCGCAGGCGTCACGCCCATCCTCGGGCGCGGAGATGTCAAGATCGAATACGAGTACGACAGGCGCAAGACAATTGTCGAGCTGCGGAACGTAGTGCACGCCCCCGGAATCCCTCACAACCTCATCGCCTTGGGGCGCGTTGAGGCAGGCGGACACTCGGTCACCTTACAAGACGGCAAGATAGTCTTCAAGAACTCGAAGGGACGAGCTTACGCGGAAGGCACACAGGTGGACAACCTGTACGTGATGCGCGCCACCACCGTACACGACAAGACACCGGATCTCGCGTGTGCGGCAGCGGTTACACGACCCCGCCGGAAGCGGACGTATGACGAGTGGCACCGCACCCTCAGTCATATCAGTATGAAGGCTGTCATCGCCATGAAGACAAAGCGCCTTGTGGAAGGCATGGAGGTGGACGAACGCGTCCCTCCGGCGGAGCAGTGCGAGGCCTGCGTCCGCGCCAAGCAGACCGTCGCGCCATACCCGAAGAAGTCGGCCACGGTCGTGGCCGCGATCGGTGACCTGACAGTCATGGACCTGTGGGGGAAGGCCCCTACGATAGGGATCCGCGGTGAGAAGTTCTTCTCGACTTTTCACTGACATGCACGCGCGTCGTACAGTTGTAGAATTCTCCAAGACGAAGACAGATGAGTTGGAACACTTCAAGGCGTACCAAGCACTCGTCAAGAACACCCACGGAGTCACCCTCAAGGCCGTCCGTTTTGACAACGGAGGCGAATATATCAGTAAGGATTTCATTGCCTACTTGAAAGCTGAAGGCATTACAGTACACACTACGACGCCCAAGTCCTCCGCACAAAACAGTGTTGCGGAGCGCGTCAATCGCACCGTGATGGACCGCGCGCTGGCGCTCCTCATCGCGGCAGGTCTCCCCAAGTTTCTCTGGCCCGAAGCCGTGGCCCACGTCGCATACCTCAAGAACAGATCCCCGACTCGCGCACTCAAGGACAAGACTCCTGAAGAAGTCTGGACCGGCCGCAAGCCCGACATCTCGGACTTGCAGGAGTGGGGCATCCGCTGCTGGGTACTAACTGACAGACAGAAACGAACCAAGCTGGACCCGAAGTCCCAGCCCATGTTTTACATGGGCCCAGCACCCGGCACGAAAGGCTGGCGGTACTACGATCCCAAGAGTCACCGAATCGGCAAATCTCGCAACATCATCTTTGCGGTCCCCAAGAGTCAACCACCCGCGGGCGATGATGACGACAAGTACGTCGAGCTCTCCCTCCCTGCGCCGCTCGAGGGGGAGAATGGGATCATAGGCGACCTGGCGCAAGGGGGAGACACGACTGTCTCTCCCGCGAACGTACCAGACGCACCACCCCCGGTTACGACTCAGAAGGCACCGCGACCGAAAACTGTCATTCCACCATCCGAGCGCACCCTCCGCGGGAAGCCACGCATCGACTACAAGGCTGTCGAAGACGGCAAGGGCATAGTCATCAAGACCACACCGAACGCCCCTCAACAAGCGGTTTCGGACGATGACGATGATGCCGTCGAACGCATCGTCGGCGATTACGAGTCGCATTTCCTCTGCCTGCTCACACTTACAGGTACACCCACCGCGCGCGAGCCCCGCAATTACAAGGAAGCGGAAGCATCACCAGACGCCAAACTCTAGCGTGGCGCAATGGACTCCGAGATCGCCCAACTCCTCAAACTGGGCACCTGGTCACACGCAGACCTTCCGTACGGACGCAAACCCATCGGATGCACCTGGGTCTACAAGCGCAAGGAAGACCTCGAAGGGAACGTCAAGTACAAAGCGCGCCTTGTCGCGCAAGGCTTCTCTCAAGTTTTTGGAATAGATGTTTTCGATACCTTCTCTCCTGTCATTCGCACTGACTCAGTCCACGTTCTAGCTGCCATAGGAACCATGCGTGACATGGAGATGTCGCAGTTCGACGTTGTCGGTGCATACCTCAACGCTGAACTCGACGAAGAGATCTACATGCGACAACCCCCGGGATACGACGACAAAAGCGGCAAGGTTCTACGCCTGCAAAAGGCACTCTACGGCCTCAAGCAGGGCGGTCGCAAGTGGAACGAGCACTTCAATCGGATCATGACGCAAAACCTCGCTTTCAAGCGTTTGAACTCGGATCCCTGTGTCTACATCAAGAAGACCAGGCGCGGTCTTGTTATCATTGGCGTCCACGTGGACGACATGATCGCGCTCGCGGATACCACATCGCTGATGGATGATTTTGCTACAGAACTGGCCAAGCATGTCAAGATCACTAACATGGGTCCCTGTCACAGCCAACGAGCTGTGCCACCAGATAAACAAAGACAAAGCTTACTGGTGATGGGGTTGGTGCTAAGGGGCGAAGCAACTCCAGGTGACACAGCAAGAGATGGTGTAAAGAAGTAGATTCCCTAGACTAGAAGGGGCAGTGAGAGGTAGGGCTGCTAGCTACCTACAGAGGAGATGGGTGATCGACGAGAAGATCAAGTCTGAGGTTCCCTGCCTCAGACCCCCTATATTTATACAATTACAACGGTGCACAGACCAGGTACCTATTGTCCTGCTTGGTCAGAGTCC